TGAGTTGGTCACTGAAAGCCCCTGCCTCAACCTGGTTCAGCGTTTGCTTTCTGTTGGAGAATGCATTCAATGAGTGTATATGGATGTTTTGTTTGGTGAAGTTCTGTATTGTTTCTAGTTTTAAAAAATATTTTGTATTCTCATCAGGTAATAATAAAAGATAAAATGAAGCTAAAAGACAAAAGTAAGTAAAAAAAAAAAAATAAATGCTTCAACAAACAGCTTGCTTGGTAAACTCGTGCCTTCCAGAAGAGAGTCCAGGGAGCTTCATCTTGGGCTGAATGGAAGAGAGGGAATCCTGTGGTTTCAGACAGGCTTGGAGTCACTACTCACCCTGCTACTTTGGAACCACACCTGGGCCAGTTATACCCTCCTCTGAGCCTATATGTTCCAGTCTGTAGGGAAGCAACCCCAGCAGCCCATCAGCCATGGCCCTGTCCAGTCAGAGCGTGGACAGCATCAGGGCAGTGGGTGGGGTCTGGTCTGGGCCTCGGGAACCCTCAGGAGGGGTGAGGGCAGGTCGGGCTGGTGGGACCCGGCAGCAAGGTGTTACAATGAGCCAGATTCTATGATGAGGTGGAATGATGGGAAATGAAATTTCATAGTCATCCTTCTTTCCATATAGCCAGAGAGAACAGATCACACCTTGTTTCCAAATAATACTTGTCAAATTTTAGGATCCTGAGAATTTTGGATTATATGCTAATTATATTTGCTTTTTAAAAGAAGTAGCCATGGCACATTTATTAATTACCACAATTATTTACCTCTCTTCAACTATCTTCCTGTCTCTCACCTTCTGTATCTATCATCTGTCTATCTGAACTGGCTGGGAATACTTGGCAAACTGAAAAAAAATCCCTATTTCTGTCTTTTAAATATGCAAGCTTGAGCTTATGAAGTGCAAAGAAAGTCAATTTTATATCTGCTTTTAGTACCACATTTAGCCTGTAGAAGCTGCCATTCGAAAACCTTTAGGTAAATATTTGAAATATTCTAAAACTGACATTCTGAATGGTGTTCTGACGCCACTTCAATAATGTTTTATAAAATTCAGAGGAAAAATAGAATTAAGTAAATTTGAACTTTCTCTTTCCAGAGACAGTTAAAGGCTGTACTATTTGCATATTCTAATGCGGGATCACTGTAGCTCAAGGTACAAAGCTTCAGAAGAAACTGTCCCTCACAGGCCAGAGGAGCTGAGCCACTAACCTTCAGCCTTTCATCTGGGTTAGGAAAAAGCAAAGTCTCTTCTCTTTGAAATGGCTCCCACGCAGCCACTCACCACGGCCCACGTTCTCCAGAACTGTCTTTAGAAGCACAATTAGAAGGTTTTAAAACCAGAAACACAAGCTCTATCCTATTTACACATTTAAAGTAAAGGTCATTCTCAGAGACTGGGCTTCCCAGATTTCTCCCCCTGAAATCCCTTAAGATATGTAATACCAACATAAAGGGAATCACAAATCCAGTTTTCAGAAAATGGCATTAAATATAGATTTAAACTTTGACCTTTCATCCCAAGTGAGAGGACAAAAAATTCTCTTTACAGTGAAGGGCATGTTGCTACTAAGCTTCAATGAGTAGGCGAGAACCTGCCTGGTAGTAGCCAGGATTAAGAAGTGCCAATCGATTTACCTCCAATGCAGGTGTGCTGCAAATCCGCTGGGCCCAGATGCAGCGTGCGATTGGGCCAGGCTCATCTATATTCTAGAGTTTGTAGAAGTAGCTTCTGGGAAACAGGGGTCTTCTTGGCTTGGGGAATTCATGTTTCCACGGTGATATTTGAAATGCATTCAGAGTGAGCAGGAAGAAGAGATGGAATGCGTAGGGTCTCCCACTCCACATTAGGGTCATGAGTAATAGTGGGAAGGCCGTGGGTAGCAGAGTGACGAATTGGGCAAACAGGGAAATCATGGAGGCCCGGAGCATTCATATTTTTACATTCCTTATTACCCTGATTGCTCTGCAGGTGCTGACCAGGCCCCAGGCTGCTGTCCCACTCTGCAGCTCATCTCCCTCTTCCATCATCCACAGATTGATATTGGGCTGCAGCGGGGGAAGGGTGGATGGTGGACAACGGGAAACTGAGCATCCTGAAGCACGGGATGGCAGGTTATGTGCAGCCCAGAAGCCCAAGAAATGATCTTCCCTGTTGTGGGCTTTGCCAGAGAGGTAATGAGAGGACAGTAAAAAGCGCTGCACTGGGAGTTGGCTTTGCTCCTAAAAGCAGGGCAAGCTCCAGATTACTAAGTGGCACGGTTGTGCATTTGTCTATGTCAGTAGCTAGCCCGTGAATTGCGGTAGGGAGCTCTGATCCTGTTGATCTTACGCCGTGGCCTCCTGCTCAGTGCCTGGCTCTTGTGGGTGCTGGGCACGTGCTTCTTGATAGGATGAATGAGGCAAGAAGAAAATAATTAGTGAGGAGGCATACAAACGTCCACCCAGCACACCCTCTTCACTTTAAAGGTAAAGAAATTAAAAACTGGCCAGGTGAAATAACTTGACAAGTCCCTTGTCAGCGGAAGGAAAAAAAAAGAAGGGTAATAATGAGGCTGGCGGTGATGGTTACCACAGTCAAGCACTGCCTGCCAGGGTTATGGGGACTGCTCATATCCGCAGCCTGCTGGATCCTTCTTAACACCACACTAATGCTTCTGTTTTCTCCTCCAAGGTTTGCACACCTGAAAACTACATTTCCCAGCTACCCCTGTCAGCTTTGGTTCGGCTCTGTCAGTGGTTCCCACAGCTCTGACGGAACTGGCAAGTGGGAGCAAGGGAGAAGCTCTGTTTCTGTATTTTACTTAAGTAACTGCCTCTCTGGTTTACTGAGCAATGGAGGCAGGCACCCGGAGCTGCCTGCAGGGCACCGTACTGCTGCGGATGGTGGCGCCTGTGGTTTGTGCAGCTTCTGGGCCGGGGCAGCATCCGCAGGGGCCTTCGCTCCTGCTTTCGGTCATGGCAGCTGTGGCGACCGCAGTGGGCCAGTGGAGGCAGTGGAGCAGCCTGTGGCAGAGTTTGTAAGTTCTGAAACTCTCCTTCCTGTGGCATTCCTGTCCAAAGAGGTGAGGTCTATCTGTAGTGACTGATTTCTGGGTCCCCTTCCTGGTTTCACCACCGAAGTCCTTCCAAGCGTTTGTAGCCAGGCTCTCCTGCTCAGCGAGGAAAACGCCAGGGGTGGCCTCTGCTTCCTGGCCGCGCTGACCGGCGCAGCGCCTGCCACCGTGGCTCACCTCGCTGGGTGCTCGCGGAAACCTCTGAGCTGCAGCTCGCGCGCCGCCGCGGAGTTGCAGCCAGGGGAGGATGCTAAGGGCCCTCTCCGTGAGCATGCGGGAGGCGCCGGCACAGGGAGGATGTCACGCCACTTGTTGGAGGCATAAGCCCGTGAGTTTAGTTCTGCCCACCAGGGCGCTTTGGCTCCCAGCTGGGTGCTGTCATCCAGGCCCTCGGGGTCTTGCGGTGCGGTGTGGGAGCGATCTCAGAGTGCTGTTCCCGAGACGCTCTTTCTCCAGGGCCCAAGTATTCTTATGTCTACCTGAGCTGCGTGATGAAGCCATTTGCGCCACTAAAAACCTTACAGGGAGTGATAGTTCTTTTAACAGCAAAAGTGAAGATGGCTCAGATTAGGTCGAAGCAGCAGCAGGGAGATGACCTCCGATGGTGGTCTGAAGGAAGGAAAGGGAGGAGGATGGATGAGGCCGCGAAGGCGGCCCCTCCGACGCCAGAAGAGCACTGACAGAGCCAGGCCCCGAGGGGTGGGGCTGAGCCAGCCGACAGAGGGCCATCAAGGGAACCGGCTCAAGGCACGAAGTCTGAGCGGTGCCAGGCAGTCTGAACACCCCGCAAATGGCAGCGTGGATAAAGGCAGCCAGGCGGAGGTGGGGCGCACGCTCCGCAGCAGCAGACACGGCCATCCGAAGTGTCGGCAAACTAAATCTAAGCTCCCAAGACAAAGGTTGTGAACCTGTCCTGCCTGCTTTTGGAGGTCCGAGAGCGGCTTCTGAGAACCTGGCTGTAGTGCAGGGGTGACACATCCTCAGGGGAGCCCCCAAGGCCCTCCCCCAGCCCCAGCCTCGCTCCTCTCCCTTTGAGCTCTGCCCGCCCCCGGTGAGCACCCAGCCCCGCTGCAGCTGCTTCAGCGGTCCAGTGGGAAGCGCCCTGGACCCCGGGACTCTGCTGCCAGAAGCCCCTTCTGCATGTGGAGCCATCTGGCCTCGCCTGTTCCTTTATTGGAATGGAGAGCTATTTTGATAAACTCTCTCAAACTAAGATATCAATAGCTTATTACAACTTAGGATGTTCCCCTCTAGAAAGCATTTGTGTTTTAACCCTGGCCTTCAGCACTTCGCTCAAAAGAAGCAAGTAATGTAGAACTTCCACTAACATGGCGAAGAGATTAGACCCCCTAAGAATCCATTCAGCTGCGACAGCGAGCCATGCTAGGGCGGCTTACGCGAGCAGAAGCGCTTGTTTGTCCCAGAATGTCTGTGCAGGAGGCCTTGCCCTGATCAGCTAGGGCTTGTCTGAGAGCTGTCTGCGAGGTCTCCGAAGCCAAGCCCCTTTCTGCGTCGTCCCACACCTGCACAGCTGCGAGGTGGCATCTGCTCCTTCAAATGTCACAGCCACAAAGGCGTGCAGAGGTAGGTGGAAGCCAAAGGGCACAGCAGCAGGAAACACCTCTGCGGGGACGCAGGGACTCTGATACACATCACGTGGGTCAGGACTGCGTCTCTGGCCTGCCTATGCTGTGCGGGAAGCCAGGGAAGTGAGTTTTAAATTTTTATTGCTTTTAAACCGCTGATGGAGTGACATCCGAAGTCAATATGGAGGGTGTGTTAGTAAGCAGAAAGAGGAGTGGACAGTGCTCCCAACAGCAGGGTCTGCAACCAAACTGCAACAGGCAAGGGCCGGAAATGCTTTAAAGAGCAACTTTCCACCCTTTTTGTCTATGGCTAAAGGACAGAGCGATGTGCAGAGGTGTAAAGGTGGCACTGTGTGCACTAGACCAGCGCCCAGGTCCTTCCCTTGGCCACTTCCTCGGCCACTGGCGCATCTCCTAGAGGGAGAAGGCGTGGGTGGAGGGGGCGGAGAAGGCCACCCTCTTCACCCCCCGCCACCCATCTACACATTGCATAAAGGCCCCTGCTTCCCTCTGGAGCAATTAGGCCAATCTGATTTCCACTTTCACGTTTGTCTCTAAGGGAACAATTTGAAGGGCATTAAATACACTCACAATCTTGATCAACAATCACCCCTCTCATCTTTGACTACTTATTGTTAATCTAATGTTGTTTTCCAGGTATGGAGTTCAGAGAAATAGAATTTGAAAGGGAGGCAATGAAATTTTTAATTCATTCAGAAATGCAAAGTACTTTACTTTCCAAGAATCTATCAGCTTAGAAGCACATATTCTTCCTGAAATCATGTGGTTTCCTATCTGGATTATACCCCCTCCACTAAGGGTTGTTACACACAACTCGCTTGCCCAGAGCTGTGTCAAGGTTGTGAGCTGCCCCATCTTTTATTCAAGAGTATCAGTATCAATATCCCATGTTCGTTCTCAGTTTCTACAAATAAATTATTTCCTTTGAATATTCCCAGGGCTATTTTGTGATTTGGGGCAGACGAACACTTCCTTTGGTTTCTAATCCCATGAATTGGGCTGTAACTAGAACAATGAGATGAAATTTGGGGAAAGTGAAGGCAGTTCTAACCCATAAACAACCTTCCACTCTAGGAAAAATTCCTCTGAGTCTCACAGGCAGAAAATGGAGTCCCGTAACTTCAGTCGATGGTGGGCTCCAGAGGGACACAACTGGTGTGATTTCTATCTCTTGAAACATTTAAAATGTGTCTGATCAAAGGAGGAGAAAATTAACCACAGTGTAGGAAGCTGGCAGGAGGACGGACAAGATGACCTAATTTGCCTTTTCCATTACTAATTTCAGTAGGGGTCTTCTCTGGGAATTCCACACTGAAGTTCCACGGCAAGAGCCACTCACTGGGAATCTGGCTGCGGAAAATGACAGTCGGGACTCCTGATTTTCAGAGCCTCTGCTGTTGCGTCCTTCGGGGTTTCGCAGGGAACTGCATTCTCCTCAGATAGATACACTGGGCCCCATTCTTATCTACATAATAACTTTGGAGAAATTTCCCCTTTGGGTTTCAAAGGACGTAAGATTGGCCCATCAAAGTTGGGGCTATGCAGTGAATTCATTACTTGCTGAAATAAAAATCAACACAAATATATCTTTGCCGTAAGAAAAAAACCACACCACTTAGTTGCTTTACCAACCTCTGGATTCAATTAATTTTTAACATGGAAGTAAAGTCCTTTTATTTTTTTTCCCCTTTCAAGCCAGACATTTATTTTTAACAAGGGATGAAATCATCTAAGAATGAAACGGGACATCTGTTACTTTATATCTGTTTATTTTAAGTACTTAAATCTGAGTTTGATTTCACACAATTTTGACATTGTTGTTTCATTAATAATCCTTACGTAATTGCGACCTCAGAGTGCGCCTCGAGATTGCAGTATTCACTTCTCGTTAGCGCAGAGCCTGATAGGAAAGCCAGAGGTGCCCCGGGGTGGGAGAAGCAGCCATGTTCAAAGCTGGCTCAAAGGCCACCTTGGACAACAGCGGCAAGCCACCCTGGAGAGCACAAGGGGCCCAACACAGCGAGGGGAGCCTGGCTTCCGCCGTTAATCCTGGCTTTGTAGGAGTTGTTGCATGGGCAACCCAGAGACAATAGCTGCTACAGGACAAATATAAGATTTCATCCAAAACACGTATAACTAATGAAAGCAAAGGTGTGCGTAAGGATTCCACTTCATCCACCAGCCCAGTCAACCCGCCTCTGAAAGCCTGCAGGACACTGCGCAGCGATGCTGGGAGGCCAAGCAGGGTGATGGTTGGATGCAAGTGTGGGCGTCCCGCAGGGCTTCACACAGAGAGACACTACACCAGTGCGTGGACTGAGAAGGGCGTGGTCATGGCTGGGAGCTGGGAATTTGAAATAAGAACAGTGGGATTGTTTTATTAATTAAATTCATTCATACACAAATATTTAATATGAACTATGTCCAGCACTGGCTATACATTGGTAGATGACCCTTCTCTTTAAGAAGAATAACATACCAGTGAGATAGCTCAGTGGACTAAGCATCTGCTTTGGTAAGTGCAAGTACAAGGGTTCGATCCCAGGTCCTGCATGCCCCAGGGAGTGCTGAGTCCAGGCATGGTGGTGCACACCCATAATCCCAGTGCTGTGGAGGCTGAAAACAGAAGGATCACTAGGAGTCCGAGCTGCATAGTGAAACCCTGTACCAAATACATAAGTGAAAAACAAAAAGAATGAAGAGGGGTCTATTTGAAATTTGGGGTGTCATGGAAGGACATTCGAAGAGGCAAACCTTAATTTGAGATCTGACAAATTGGGAAGAAGCTGGAAGTGCAACGAGGAAGAAAAAGAGAATACCAGGAAAAGGCAACAGACTAGATTGGTTTGCTGGAGAAAGAGAAAGGAGGCAGAGTGGCTGGGGTGCTGAGAAAGAGAAGGGGTGGGGATGGAAAGGAAGGAGAAGACGGTGAAGGAGATGGAATCACACCTGTCCTCGAGGCGAGGGGAGGCACACAGAGGTAACTGTATACACGAAGGAACTTAGAGGTGGTTTTAAGTAGGCAAGTGAAATGGTTTAGCTTTTGCATTAGAAAGATCAGGCTGGCTGTGTAGGGGAGAGATCTCAAGGGGCAAGAGAGGGGGCAAGAGAGGAGGCCAGGCGAAGGTGCCTGGGTGAGGGTGGCAGTGGGTGAGGGCAGATAGGGAGATCCTCAAGGGGAGCAAAGAGGGAGGGCCAAGGGGCCAGATGTGGGGTGAGGGAGGGGAGGTACAGGAGGAGGCCAGCACAGCTCAGGTCCTGGCCCAAGTGTCCGGGTGAACGGTGATTCTGTTCACCGGGACAGGAGCCTGGGATGGTGTGTAGCAGGGAGCTAGGGTGTTGGGATCAGGCTGGAGAAGGAGAGTAAAATGTTCCATTTGGGCCGTGTTAGCCTTGAGAGTTAAATATTTGGCACTTGAGTATCTCAGTCTGGAGTTTCTTGGAGAAGTCTGACTTGGAGATATCAATTTTCAGTTGTTGACAAGTAGATGGTTTTTAAAATCATGACAATGAATCATGTTACCTAGATTTTGGAGAAAAGCAAGTGTTGTGTTGGTTAGAGGCTTTCCAAGGAAGGAAAAAAGGGCCATATTTACTTCACATCATTTCTGGAGTTTGTTTGTATTTGTTTGTTTATCTATCTGGTACAGGGTTTTGCTACACAGCTCAGACTCATGGTGATCCTGCTGTATCAACCTGTTCAGGACTGGGATTACAGGCATGAGCCACCTGCCCGGTTCCAGTGGCTGGCACAGCGCACCCAGGGTTCCAGGGCCAGCACGGCTTGCCATACCAGGGATCCAACGGAGGTCCTTGCATTTGTCAGGCAGGTACTTAGACTGTTGAGCTACCTCTCCAGTCCTCTGGAGTATTTTAAAGTAAATTATAGATAGGATAGTTCACTACTATGTTCTTTAGGACATATCTGCATAATATAAAGATATCTTCCCACTCACATGAAGTCCCTGGAAATCACGCCTACATTCATCGACTCAGCACCGGCTCTTGCTCTGTGCCTAACATTGCTCATTTGTATTTTACTTTTAACCCTCACAAGCCGCTGATTAAGGCACGATTGTCTGCATTTGCCAACAAGGATGCTACGACTCTGAGTCTTGGTAACTTACCCCACGCCGTGCAAGTAGGGACTGATGGAGCTGAGGTACCATCCAAACTCCAAGCAGCTCTAGAGCTGGCCCTGTGTCTCTCCGTAGCTGCACACAGAGGCCTAGACCCCAGCCCCAGGAGGGTCTCCACTTTTTTCCTCCTCCTTAGCCCTACTCTGGCATTGGCCTCTGTGCCTTAGAGAAATGTTCTGTCCTCTGAGCATTCAGCTCCTTCGTTCTCATTTTGGCCAAGGTCACAGGGCCATGATTGTCCTAAGGCCATACTGCCTGGGGCTACTTCTTTAAGGCACTTGGACAGGAAGGGATCTTAGCTGCAGCTCACCGACAGTTGTCCTAGGTGTGGATACACTGACTTTCACTCAGTTCTGGGCAAGCTGGAGCACGCAGGAGAGAGCAGTGGTTTTCTCGAGAGCTCAGCCAGAGAGTGGTGGAGTGAGGGATTCTGAGAGCAACCACAGACTGGAGGAGGATGGACCAGCATGTGCTCCGCAGTCATCTTAGTGCCCACTTCTCCTCCTGGGCTTCCCCTCCAGAGGAAGCTCGGAGCTGCACATGGGGCAGCCTGTTCAGCCTCCAGGGAACAGCAGCAGGGAAGGGGGGAAGTTTACTCAGCTCCTTTGCTCCTGGGCAGGCTTCAGAGCTCGGCCCTGCGCTCCACCTTGTTGTGGCCTGTGTAGGATGGCCAGGCCTGCATCAGTCCAGAGAGAGTGAAGCTACGCTGGGCTCCTGGTGCCCCGGCTCCTTCCCAGACCCTTGGCTGCTCTTTTCTGCCTATCGTGTATCATCATTTACTTTCACTTTTGTGTTCTGTTATTAGAATTTAAGCTTCACGCGCACAAACGTTTTACGAATTTGGCTTTTACTTTGTGCTCAGCATCAATAAGAGTGTGTGGCACACAGTAGGCACTTAGTACATGTCTGAACAATTAAGTGAATCAACCACCAGCCATCCCATGTCACAGACACATGTATTAACCAAGAAGACTTAAAATACAGACGGTTCCGGGGTCAAGATGGTTTGATAACTTTCAACGTCACGAGGATGTGAAAGTTTACACGCACAACTACTCTTTTACTTTCAGTAAAATATTGGATAGATTTTATGCAGTCGTCAGTATTCTATTACAGATGAGGGTGGGTTAGACGCAACTGTAGTCTAACGTACGCATTCTGAGCATGCGTAAGACAGGTTGCGCCAGTGACATAGAGCCTGTGGCCCCTGTGGCCCAACCGCTGCAGCGGGCTGTTGGTATCATTGAAAACTCTGTTACTATGTTTTTCAGTTAGTGGGTGGATTGTTTTGCCTAAAGTAAGAGCTTGTGTTCACTCAGGCTTAATTGCAAGGTTGACACTTGGCATAAAGAAGTGGGGCTTGGGTTGCAGCGTGGGCCCCCGGCCTCTGAAAGGTTCACCATCACCAGACCAGTGCTGCCCCACTTCATGCTATCAGGTTCGATACGGTAGGTGTATTCAGGACATCTTAAAGTTGCTATTTGTCAGTTCATGATAGGTTTATGGGGTGTAACTGCTTGCTTCATAACTTGAGATGAACCTGTAGTCTGTGACCGGCCTCTGTCCACCTGTACCCTACTCAGAACTCTAGAATATTTTATCTTCCTACAACTCTCAAAAACAAAAGGAAAGGAGGAGAGGAAGCAGGAGGAGAAGGCAGGAGAGAAATAAAGGAGAAAGTGCGTGCAGACAACACCTGAGTCACCTAGAGGGAGCCCTGCAGAGGACAAGGTGGAGAGCCGCGCTCCCTGCTGCCGCGAGCAGGGAGGCACAAGGAGCCTGCGCTCCCGGAAGCCAGAGGTCTCCAGGAACTCTAGCTTTCCATCCTCATCGCGTTCCACGATGGCTTGGCGGTCTGGGGAGGACGTTCAGGCGCTCTGAAGTGCGGCGATAATCAAGAGAGAGGGAGTCTTAAACTGAGGATGGAGAGCAATCTGCACAGGTTAATGGAAGCACTAGCAACATTAAGTGAAATTGCTCTTCCACTGCTTCATAAGGCGGCACTGGGGAGCCCGGCCTTTGCATAAGCAGGGATGGCGTGGGATTGCGCGTGAGGGCGGGGGGCTGGGGACCAGTCGTGCAGCAACCATTACGGTTCATGGGAGCCCGGCCCGCAGCCCCTGGGCGCACCTGCCGCATATTTACTCAGGCCCATCGAGGAGCCAGGCAAATTTGGGCAGGATTTCAAGGGAATCCGGAGCCGGGGGAGGCTGCTTTAGTCCAATTAAGGGAAGCAGCATCAGGTGGAAAGTAATTCTGAGTATTCACCGTTACCGGGAGTTTCGTGTTTAAGCCCCTCAGTGGACCTTCTTTTAATGAAGAACTAAACTGCGGGGTCTGGAGGTGGGCAGGAGGGATCGCTCCTGCTCACAGAGCTGAATTTCTCCCTGAGGAAGACAGACGCGGGCCGGCAGATTTCCTAGTGGGTACATCCCGCGGCTCGCTGAAGCACTCCCACCTGGTCTCCAGAACGCCTCGGTGGCTGCAGCACTCCCACTTCATAAGAGGATGGGGACTCCAGGCCTGGGACACCCCAACCCTGAGCCCCTCGGTGGGGCCAGCGCACTCAAATCTCTGGCGCTCTTCTATTTCCTGCTTTTGTTCTTTCTTTCCCATGTTGGTCTTCCAGGGCCGCGGAAGCCAAGTCGTGGAAATGAGTTAATAGGGCAGCAGAAAAGCACGCGTCTTACGCAACGGTCTTAAGGAAGAATAAGCCCACTGGTGCAGGTAATAAATGACAGAGGAGGGTGAAATTCACAGGTTCAAACAACACAGAGACAACTGCTTTGGAATCTTCCAGGATACCAAGAAATCTATCACTTGTGCCGTGCTGAGGATTGGGGTGTGTCAGGCAGTGTCTGTGTCCAGGGTGACTGGCAGAGAAGAGAGTAGTATACAGAAACACATGATTGGCCCCTTAGAGAGCTCCAGACAGCAGCGTCCCGAAGATGCCTTGGAGCAGAGGCAAAGCATGAATATGTAAAATGAAAGAACCATCCATAATTTAACCACATAAACAATGCCCAGGCCCCAGTTTCTGGGCAGGCTCCTTGCTGCAGTGGTACTCCCCACACATTCCCAGCACATCTGAGCACAGTATCTTCCTTCCTACCACCCGCAAGACCTCCTAACAGCACCAAGGCTAGGGCTGCAAAAGCAGAGGCTCCCAGGACTTGTTTATGTGTAGCCAGTTTTTCTTATTACTGAGCACCAATGTTTCTAAAAAAAAAAAAGTCAATGATAAAATAGACCTTTGCTAAATCCCCAAAATATTTTGTTGGTCTACATTAAGCAATCATTGCAATTTTCTTTGGGTTTAAATTTTACATACACACACACACACACACACACACACCCATATTAGTCAACTTTAAATCACTATGATACAATATTGCAGATAAACAGCTGACAAAGAGGAAAGATTTATTTTGGCTTATGGTTTCAGAGTCTCAAGCCCCCAGTTGCTTGGCTTTCTTGCTTGGGACCTGTGGTGGCAGAGTACATTATGACAGGACTGAGTCACAGAAGAGACTGGTGTCAGGGAAGGAGAAAGTGCAAGAGGCAGGGCTCCCAGTGTTCCCTTTCAGGGTGCTCCCTCCATGAGCTCACTTCCTCCTACTGAGCCCCGTCTCCTAGGGATCCCCCCCCAACGGTGCCATCCGCTGTGAGCAATCTTTAGCACACAGGCCTCAGAGGACTCAGGTCCCAACTATGGCATGTACTTATATACACATATTTTTATTTCATACAATTCAACATATTTTATGTTCTCTATGGAGTTAGCAATTGTCATGCCTAAAATTGCTAGTAATTAATAAATTTATTTATTTTCATTTATACAGTCTCTGACACAGACACAGCTATTCACCCCATTTGGAGTTAAGAACCATTGGAGCACACTCTAGGAGTAGACTATAGCCTCCAATACAACAGAGCAGCTCCCTACACTCAACTAACACTTTTTTTTTAAAATGTGATGGTACAAGCTTGTAAAGATGAAGAAACAAACCTCAGAATACAGCAATTCTGAATTTTGCTCAACCTCTCAGAGTTTCATTTGTGTATAAATTCAAGATAGTGAGACAGAATACAAATGGAGATACAATATTTTTGTTAGAAGTATAAATTTTAGTGTACACATGAAATACATTGCTCTGCTGAAATAGCATCTTTAAAGTTGAGATTTGTACTTCCTAAACTGTCAGTTTAACACTGAATCCCAAATAGAAGCCATAGTTATTGGACAGTAGATGTTGGCTCCTGAAGGCTAAGGTTGTGGCTTGGGTATGGAGGGTATTTAGTAAGGCTCTACTCCTGTGTAAAACACAAAACCAAACCAAACCATAGCCTGCTCCCATGACTTCCAGCCCTGTAAGAATTAAGGCCTAAATTTATGACCTGGATCTTGCTTGGGTTGGTAGAGTTATCTAATTTTCATACACAAAGGAATGCACATCCAGCTGTAATCTCATCCTTTCCCTCCACTTCTCCTCCCTGTTCCCCAAATCTTTCCACTCTGGACCCCCTGTATCATATTACTTCAGAAAGGATTCTGTGAAACAGTTAACTATTTTATTTTTCTTCTGAGCCTGATACTTGTTTCACCCCTTTTCCATTTCCTGACTTTTTGTTGGGGGGAAGCCCGCTTTCGTTCTTTGATATCGCTGTGGTTCAGATGTGGTTGATCCCCCAGGGTTCATGTGTTGGAAGTGGGTCTTTAGTGAGACGGTATGAGAAGTGGGGCCTCCCTGGAAGCCATTTGTGTCATGGGAGGTTTTTGATGTGAAAAGACTAAGGTAGATCTTGTGGGGCCCTGTGGGCTCTCATAAGGGTGATTGTTATAAAGGAACAAACAAACAGGTAAAGCTGACCTCCTTCCCTGCTGGCGTCTCTCCTTCCTTCTCTTGTGTGTAATCAAGTCTGCGTGTGCTCCCTGTGTTGGCACGGCAGCCACCGTGGAGCTCTAATCAGATCTGGGTAAAAGCCAATGGCATGCTCTCGAAGGTCTATAACTGTGAGCTAAATAAGTCTCTCTTCTCTAGATATTGCCTAGTATCAGGTAATAAAAGATGGACTAGTACACACATCTCTAAAGGAAGCCTAGCCAAGAAAAGGTGCTCTTGGAAAGAATATACACAGGTAGATTTGAAAGAGTCACCTTTCCCTACTTCCAAATGAGAAAGTGGTCAGAAACAATTTCTTAAGAAGAGCATTTATTAAAGGACTGAAAATATGCATCATGACCAGGAGATTTATCAGAAGTATTGTAAGAAGACATGTGGGACTGATTTCCAGAAGAGGAAAGCATTATTTCCCTGGAAAGAATCCAGGGAAAACATAGAACTGGGAATTTCAATATTTTGCAAGAAAGTGGAACAAATCTTCAGAGAGACAGGCTGGGTGAGTACACGCACAACCCCAGGAAGATGAGAGGTCGACGCAGCATGTTTATGAGGCTGAGTTCACCAAGCTTGTCCTCTGTGAGCGCTGAAGTTTAGGGTTAGCGAACGAGGTAGCTTCAGACCACTTCATCTATCTTCATTTGGGTGATTGATTTGATGGGAAGACCCACAGCTCCATGGCACTGCCTCAGACCAAGACCGAGGTTTCCAGCCGAGGACGGGAGGATCTTTCCCTGGCCACAGTTGTTTTGTTAATGTTCTGGAAAGGGAATCAAAGAGCAGGGCAGTGGGTAGGAAAGCCCAGGTTTAAGAACAGCACCCCAGTGCATGGGACAGAGATCTGGAGGGACTGGCAGGTCTGTGACCAAGGACCACGTGCTGCATACCTCCACAGCGGAGTGTGAGCCGGTGTGGAGCTGACTCGGAGAACCGGAGTCCTCAGAGCCCAGCTGGCAGGGAGCCACCCTTTCAGGCCCTGATCAAGGGAAGAGTGTGTTCAGAAGAGACTCCCAGGACAGGAGTCTGGCAAAAAGTTGGAGGTTGTTAAACCAGAAAAATAAAAGAAGCAGCAGCCTCAGGGACAACACAAGTGCCTCCTTCATCTGTTTAAAGGGCTGACTGGCAGACAAGAGACTGCAGTGAATCGAACAGTGTCCCTCCTGGAATTATATAATGCAGTGCTAACTCCCCAGTCTCTCCAAGTATGACCTTAATTGGAAATAGAGCTATTGTAATATATAATCAGTGAAGATGAAGCCATATTAGAGCAGGGAGAGCCCTAAAGCAGTATGACTTGTCGTTACAGAGAGAGGAATTTTGGAGACAGATCCACATACAGAGAGCATGGCCAGTGAAGAGGAAGGCAAAGATCTACAGCTAAGAAACTCCAGTGATAGCCAGTGAATGCCCAGAGCTAAGAGGAAGGAAGGGCAGTACGCAGTCCTGGGGGCATGCAGCCCTCCTGATGCCGCCCCCAGAACTGGGAGACCAGACCTTGCCATTGTTTATGCCCCCAGCTGTGGGGCCCAGAGAGCTAAGCCAGGGGCTGAAATCATTCAGCGGTAGATTCAGCAGCAGACGTTGCTGCTAAGGCTCTGGGTGTCTCAGGAGACAGATTCAACACAAAGTAACATGACGGAGACCTTTATAACCATGCAGACCATCAAGGGAGGGCCAAGTCGCCCTTGAGGCAGGCTGCTTCCTAGACCTGCGGATGATCAGGTGCAGATAGGACAGCCACCTGCTGAGGATGCCACAGGGACACTTCTGTCTTGGGAAGAAAGGAGCCTTGCAAGATTTCCTCCAATTGCAAAACCTATAAATCGAACTTAAAAAGTATTCAATAATAACAAAACATTACCTAAAACTTAAAACTTTCTTGGAGAGCACAGAAATTAAAGAAGCATCAAAAAAAAAAAAAATCAGTAAAAGCACTCCATATTTTAAAAAGTGC